CCTCGGACGAAACGAACCGAGGCGAAAAAATCACAAAGGTTCCAGAAACAAGGCCCTACACCTCTGAGCTCGGAAGAGACAGAGAAACTACGCAGGTTGTTAGAAACTTTGAAACACACTGACACGGGAAACCAACCTGGAGCACTATGCAGTGATGTAATTACTATTACATCTGAGGACGCGAATGACAACATCACAGATGTCGGTGGTACACATCAAGACATTGTTGTTGTTGCCTCCAACAACCCCTCATCGGAAGAAGGGGGGGTAAACTCACACACAAACGATGACGAGTCATCGCAAGCTGAACACTCAGAAACAGCTACTGCTGTGCTGACGGTTCAGACAAACCAAGATTACACAGACAAGGCTGAACGTGTGAAGAAATGTCAGAAAAAACTTAAGAGGTGTCTGTGTAACTTTATCAGAAGGGGGGTCGCCAAGAAGGCGTACCTGTCAGTAACGCTCGAAGGTGTCCTCACACATGAAGCACTACTGGACGGTGGGGCAGACATAACAATTATGTCAACTAAACTGCTCGAGGAGCTGAGGACAGCCGCTGGCAGTGTTAACAGGATAATACCTCTCACAGAATGTGCTATAGAAATGCAGGGTCTCTCAGAGAAGAGGACAACCCTGACAGCTATAGCAATGGTTCACATGCAGATTGGCAGAATGACACTATACCACCCGGTACACGTGTCTCGTGTTGACTCATTCCCATTTTTGGTTGGCCAGGATTTTATAAATCGCTTCGACGCGATTATAGATTATGGTGATCAGACGATGTGGGCCAAGGTGAGCAAACCACTGCCAATACAAATGCCTCCGGAGTGTAACACAGACTGCCTAACAGCAGGTACCGCGGAAGGCGCAAAGGACTCCTCAGCCGAGGACACGAGCCCGGTGAGTATTCCTCTGACATCATGTGAAACCAAAGAGACCCACCAGGTGGTCCAAACTCTGACCCAACAAGACAGCCTCCTCTGTGAGCTGGAGCAGTCAGAGTCCACCAAACACTACCTACCACTGGTAGTTAAAGGTGTAGAGATCCAAGGGTCCCACACCAACGATGCTGTTCTGTCTCTGTGGACAGATAAATCAGCAATTAACCGAGCTTTCTATGAAACCTTGGTTCACAAACACGTGGATCTAGAACTAATTAAAAAAGCTTTCCGCTTTCCATTAGTTCCCAATAGTTCACAGGTAATGACCGCTGAAGGAGTCATTAACCTAAGACTGAACTGGAACCAACGAGAACTGGTTCACCCGTTTCTCGTGATCCAAAACTTACCACATGCAACCTACATAGGCTCTGACATTTTGGTAAGGTTGGGTGTCCACGTGGACACCATCAACAAGGTGCTGTGATCCCTAAAACCAGCCACAAAGGATCCTCCTGTGCTAGACACAGCAAACCTTAAGGCTGGGCAGACCATTCCAGAGGCCTGCCAGGTTGCTAACAACCAAACCACCACAGTACCACCTCAGGTGATTAACCTAATGGTGCGAATCCACATCGTAGCTGGACAAGCTATTAGCCATAAACAGGCATATTTTCAACCTTCTCCTGCATTTTTCAACTTGGGACTGTCCGTGGAAGCCACGAACCAAGTGAGCCTTGACTCCAGGACCACATCTGTTGCTGTGTGTAACACAGGCACGGATGAGGTGATGATCCCAAAAAACACTATGCTAGGATGGTTGATTTCCACTGATTTTCATGATTTTGAACTAGGCATTCCATTTCTGGGAGGACTCCCAAATAACCTGGTACAGAGTCAAGAAACTGGGCCAGTATGGTTCACAAAACCAACACAGGCCATAGCTCTTTTCTCAACCGATGACGTCGACCAAGGACCTCAAACCTATGGTGTCTTACCCATAGACAGGTCCGACGACTCAGAAAGGGATTCGTTAGAGCTCCCCGAAGAGCAAGAACCCTTATCAGTCTCATCACAGATAGATCAGGTGGTCGCCCAAGCCGACGCTCTGACATCTGATGAAGAAAGAGACAAACTTCGCCAAGTTCTTTTAAAATATGAAAAGTCATTTTCAACTGACCCAGACATCATCCAACTTCAGAAGTTGGATCCTGCAATTAACTCGATGATACTGTATCTGACTGACCCAGACAAATACACTCCATCGAAAGGCGACCTGGATTCCAATCCAGACCTTAAAGTCCTCTTTCAGCTGCGCAAACAGTTAAAACTACTCAAGGACAACCTAACTTTAGCTCATGGAGCGACGTCCTCACCCTTGTTCGCGGTCCCCCATGACCGAAGGGGGGTGACGCCAGTTAGGGTAATGTTACCAGACGCGATAACGTGATCAAATCTGACATTCAGAGTGAGTGGCGCACCGAAACGTCGTTTTCTAGTTGCTTAATCACTACTTTTGTCAATGTTGAAACGTTGTTTTACTGGTTGCTTAGTCACTGTTTTTTGTCGATGTTGAGACATCGTTTAATTGGTTTTTGGTATTGTTTCTGAACACCCCAAGCAAGAATGAATTTTGTGTGTAGTTAAGTTAGAGACTAAGAGGCCTTTAACTATGCTAACATGCAGTTCACTCGTTAAAACCTAATCTTTGCGGAGTCAATGTAGATTAATGCTACCTTAAGTACCATGATCTACATTTGTCTCACAACGCTTAAGCCGAACCTACTCGAACAATTCTATTCGGGGGGATAGCTAATTCTTTTTGATGAGTCTCGCCATAGACTCCAAAAACATTTATGGGGAAACCAAACACCCAATCTCAAGTCGTTCGTCTAAAAGACAACAGACAATTGAACCAAACTATATTTTGCCATGTAAAGCTAACTTAAACCAAGTTAGGAATGGAAAAATAGTTTGGAATGCCCTTCTATAGGTATAAACCCCTATAACCACCCTTTTCAGCATGTTCCACCCCTTAACTGGTAGCTGTAGCTGTTCCCAATCATAATAGCTTACACACCAGGTGCATATAGGTTAAGGCCTTATGTAAAATCCCCTTCATAAGCCCACCTTAAACCACATAATTGCATGACACATTGAACTAGAACGGCACCGACTGGACGTCACCCAGCGACGACCTTCGCTGGAGGAGACCTGCAATCCTGACGTTGGTCTCCAATCTTCATCCAGTGGCCGCATCTTCAGTTCAATCCAAGGGAACCCCTCTGTATGCTGATCAATCAACACCTCCATTTGTTGTGGATTTATCGTTGTGGATTATATGACTTTTTCCAATGGATTACAGACTTTGTTTCCAAGGGGTTAAAGCATTGCTACAATGGAATTACCAACAACATTATGGAATTACCAACAACATTATGGAATTACCTAAACCGTTGTGGGATTACCTTCTTTGACTTTTGTTTTCCTTGCTGGATTACATCAAGCTCAAGGACATTCGGAGGCGTAAATTCATGTTGGAATTCATCACCATGGACAGGCGATGATTTCCAAAGGGGAGACTGTAGTGAACTAAGCCTCAGGTCAAGTCCTGACCCTGAGGGCCTTCCTGGGACAAGAACTGTTATTTCATTGATTTGAGTCCAGAAACACAAAATTAAGTTCATCCAGAGACTTTCTAAGTGTGTCCTGCACTGATCAATTGAAAGAACACTCTCTTTTTATTATCATTACTATTTTACAATATCTTGATAATCAAAAGTGTGTTTAGTTCAAACCATTTTAAATGTTGAAGTGAACTACTCATTTTAAATCAACTGTGAAACAGGATAAATGATTTTTTAATCCTCATTCAAAGTAGAAATCAAGTTAATGTTTGTTACAAGAGTAATTATGCATTTTGATCTTCTGTCTGAAATGAGTAAGTTGTAAGTCGGTCAAAAGTGAAGGAACGGTCAAAAACATGTTTATTGGAAAGAAATGTCATGTTTAACTTTTTCAGATAGATAGAAGAGGACTAGCTCCAAAAAGTCTCTGTTCTTCAAAACATCTTTCTGTCTGTTCTTAAAACAATCTACTCTTTCTCCTTGACTTTTAATAACCTCTTACGTCACTAAGACCACACCCCTGTTGGTTCTTTCAACCAATCAGGAAGTTCTCAGAGGAACGGGAACTGACCTCTTTAAAAGGGTCAACACTTCCTAGTTCCAAGCGGAACGCAGAACAACGGGAACTACGCAGAACAAAGTTCCAGAAGGAAGAACAAAGTTCCGAGTCTCGTGGGGATTATGGAATCTTCCACATCTGAGTGGAACCTCTGACGGGCTCACAGCTCATGTGAGTCCACCCGTGAGGTGAGCGTGGTGTTGAACGAAGTACCGTCACTACTTCGGACGATTCACAGCTGTTTCTACGGAGACGCTGGAAAGGTAGCGTTAAATGGAACTCCGTACCAGTGGAGACATCTTCTACAGGTAAAGAGTCGATTTCCACTACCGAAGTGTACCGAGGTAGAGCTGGGTTCGAATGGAGGGTGCCGTTCTTCGTCGACACATTTTCCCTCATCCATTTTCTCTCCATTTAAACTCCTTCATTTCCCATCTTTAAAACTCTTCTATCTGCCAGTAATCATCCAGATATTTTCAGAAATGTCTGTTGGTGTTATGACCGAGGTTGTACCCAAGATGAAGGACCAGAAAACTGAAC